ATGGCTGGGGGTGGGGTGGGGTGGGGCTGGGCTGCTGCGTCCTGCTGAGGCTCCACCTCCGTCCTACTGCCCCTTGCTCCTGTCATCTTTTGACAGGCAGCCAGGAACAAATAAATATTAATTTACTAAATTTTTTAGGGGCCCCGCGGGGCAGATAGAATGGCCTAGCAGGCTGGATGCAGCCCATGGGCTCTATTTTGCCCACCTCTAGTCTATCACCACCTTCTTTATAACCACCGTACAGATATTTGACGATGTATTAAATCCTCCTTCAGTCTCTCCTTCTCCAGACTAAACCAAACCTAGTTCTTTCAACCATTTCTTATAAGTCCCATGTCATAGACCTCTGATCAAGAAAGACATGGACAAACTAGAAAGTCAGCAGAACAGCAAAAAATGAAGTGCAGTGTCCCAAACTGACACAGTACTCCAGGTGAGGTCTAGCTAGTGCTGAATAGGGTGAGAAAAATTGCTTCCCTTTTAACTTGCAGATGATATTCCCACTAATAAGCCCAGTATTCTGTTAGCTTTTTTGCAGCAACAGCCCCCATTGTTGACTCCTATACAGCGAGTGATCCACTAAACCTCCCAGTCTGCCTAAAGATATTTTTAAGTTACAATTATTAATACCTACCATCCCCATGAATCTGAACAGTGTAAAACACTTGCTGCTGATGAAAATTGTCCTGTGTGTACAGGGAGTTAGGTTTACCTCTTTTGGCATCTAAAACATAATGAATAAGGCTGTTGAATATTTGATGTCATTTGAGAGAAGACAGAAATAGGCAGAGGCATAGAGGGGGAAGGAAAACACTTTGTTTTCTTTTCTCTACTACCATAACATAAGTCAGTTCAGAGAGACTTATTTTAAAAAGGTGGACAACAATATTAAAGCGTGAAGAACTGGTACTTTATGCAGTAATGTTACTCCACGTAGACTGTATCACTGGGCCAAGCACCCATGAGCTCCAGAGTTGTAGCTCTGTTACCAGAGCAAGAGCATCTGGTATGTAAGGTAGAAAGTCAGTATTATACATAACCTTCTTGCAGAGCCATCAGAGCTGTGGGTTTCTTGCCCTTCCTCTCATAGTGTGAGCAAAAATGAAATTGTTCCTCCTATTGGCCTTCACTTTTGATAGCAGTTTTAGTTTCAGCTTTTGAATGTCACTAAGCAGCCACCTACTTCGTCTTGCCTCTGAAAATGCCTTTTAGGTGTTACTGTTCCAGGTTCTTTGGGAGGCCAGTAACAGCGGGAAAACTTTCTTACACGTAATGTTTCAACTTCTGGATGTTGTGCCATGTACATGTGGTCTGAATTACTTTTTTTTTTTGTCAGATGGTCTACAAAGTGTCACTGTTCTGTAAATAACCCCTTTTCATAAGACATTCAGTGTCTGAAGGTTAGAGTTCGTAAAAGAAAACCAACCAACCAACCCATCAAAACTGTCAGGCAATGCATGGTGTTTTCACCTCATATAACTTGTCAGTCAAATTTTTATACTTAACATTTTGTTCTTATTTTTCACAGATGGCTCTAATCCTTATACCTTGAAGCTTTGCTTCTCAACTTCATCCCATTTATAGAGAGAAGACAGCATGTTAGGAGCTACATTCTTGATTTGCAAGCTTGAAACTACATGTCATTCACAAGCTCTAAAGTGGTTGCTCTGATATTGCCTTGTCTCAACTTAATTCTAAAATCTTCTATCTTGTTTTATAATAAATGGATGTTCCTTCATTAATAGAAAGCAGAGCTTTTCTTTTTGCCTCTAAAGAGTACATGTTGTAAACCTATTATGAACATTTTGTTTTTCATTGAGGTGTAATATTATCTACAAGAGTTAGAGCAGTCTTATAGATTTCATATGCAAGACACTGTGTACTGTTCCAAACCTTAACATTTTAATTGTTTTCATCCAAAAATGAAATATATTTGCATTTTCAGTAATGTTAAAAAGATTAGCAAGTATTTTTCCATTGTAGGTTTAATTGGCAGATAAAACTATTACATTGGACAATTAAATGTAGAATTTCTTTCTAGTTACATGTTTGGGTAGTTAAGTATGTTGCAATTATTAATACTAAATAAGTTTGTATATATAAAATGTTTAATCAGGATAATGTTGCAGATACTAAATTTTGAGTAGTGTAGACTTACCTGATTTATATTTCAAAAAGGTGGCAAAATTAAGCGAATACCTTTGTACAGAATGCACTCAAATTTATTTACAGTGGTTATGGGTTTTAAAAGTCACTTTCCACTTCCATTGGCATGATATCACCTATTGCTAGGCCCATCTTGGGGATCTTTTTTAAATTAAAATTATAAGTCTGAGTCAGTGTGTTCATCCTCATTTCCTGCATGTGAATTTTTAAATCTTTAGCGTTCAGTATTAGTCTTGAGGTGGTTTTTATATTGACATCATTTATTTATAAAAGTAAAGGTTGATTTTTAGGGGAACTGGAAAATTGGTCATGGCAAAACAATGAACATTTGAAAGAAAGATGGGTCTGTCTTTCAGTAAGTACTTCAGACATGCTGCATACTGGGCCCTCTTATTTTTAATTCATGCTTGGTGTCGGTAGTCATGCTGTATATTTCTTTATTAGTGATTTAGGTTTATATTTTTATCATGATTGCAAAAGGAACTAAGTAGACTTTGTTCCCCCTTCTCATGAAGTAGTGTGAATCGGGTGTAACTCCATTACAGTCAGGAAGGTTACATGGTATAATATTAATGAGCAACGGGAAATCCCTGCTCTCAAATGTGTGAGCAGTCTGTCCCCAGGCTGGGTATTCATCCAAAATCCCTGTTCTTCCCTTCCATTGAGGATCGTCCAGTTGGCCTCAGAGGTGAGAATCAGGGAGTCTTTGCCATTGTTATACAAAGAAATTGATGCATGGGGGGGGCATCCTTTTGAGGCTGAAGAGATATGGTGCTTTTCCTCAAGAAGATGGTCAGATTTGTTTTCCTCACTCATTGCATGAGGTCTGGATCCATGTGGCTACTCTTAGCAGAAACTGAATAATGGGGTAAGGAGAGAGCTGCTACAGGAGAAACCAAGGTCTGTGTTGTATGGGAAGGTGACTTGGCAGTCTCCTGTTGGCTGTTACATGTTAGGCTAAGCAAATTAGTGTTCTTTGAGGCAGTTTTGGCACTCAAAACAGTGAATGCTGATATGCAGAATACTTGCGTTTCTAAGCAGCCTGCATTTGTGTGTTCTAACATCCACACCTTTCAGTTTAAAAATAAGTGCTGTTTTTAAAATCAAGCTTCAACTATTGGACTTCATTGGGGCAGAATGACTGAAGTGGAAGTAAGGCCTTGCTTTCTGACCATGCCCTTATCATAAACAAACTGTAATTTATTCCTTCACAAATATTTATTGTTTTCTTTGAGATGAGTTGATCTTTGGCTTTCCAGTGCTGTCACTAAGGTAGGGTGATTTTTGAAGATGGATTTTAAAAGATGCTTTTCAGGAAAAGACAGACAGACACAGACGGACACTTTTTTTCCCTGAAGAAATTATACAATTTAATGCAAAGCTGCCAAGTGTTCCTGTAGTAGGGGATCATGTTTGGGATGTATTTGTCTGACTGAAACTCTCCTTTTTAATTAAAACACAGAATTTTACTTCTGTTCCTGGTATGTGGTTCTTGCAACCTGACTTTTTAAAATATATTTGAACCCAGGTATGGTGCCTCAGTAGGAGACGTTCACTGTTTCTCTGAGCTAATGCAACTCTTAAGTCTGGCAACACTAACACAGCATGGGGGCAGGAGGGAAGGAGAGAACCCATACACCCTGCCTGTAAAGGCTTCTGGAAAAGTGAAGCCCAAGGATGAATTCCCAGCTTCAGTGACAGACAGAGCCCCTACAAGAAGTTTTTCAGCCCCTCAAGGCATTGGTATAGGGAGTTCACACAAGTTGCCCTGTGAGCCAGGGAGGGAGCAGATAATAGGAACATCATCTTTGTCATAAAGAACTTCCATTTTAGCAAAAGAAAACACCTGTTTGAAGTCAGCAAAACTTTTCCCACTATACAATCAAACCAGCTGCTTTGTTATATAGGTATTTCTTGCAGCAATACACTTAATTGCATTTCAGGTGGTTACTTCAGGCAACCTCAAACACCGTTTGACTCTTTCTCTGCTGTCAGTGTAGCTTGATATCTTGCTACCCCGATGTTTTGCAGTTGGGTTATTATACTATTTTCTGGTGATGTTCTTTAACAACTTATCTCTCTTTTTAACGCTTGTTTCTCAAATCTGAAGTTGGATTCCTGAGCCTGGTGTTCCCTTGAATAGCAACTTCGGGATTGTGTGTATCCATGCCATCCAGGTTGCAGCACAGTTGAATAAGGTTTTTCCCTTCTGGTCACACTCTCTTTGCTTTGATATTCCATCCTCATAGAAAACTGCAGCTCACATCTCACTGTACATGGTGTGATAATTAAAACAGCTGGGGGGGAACCTGCCCCTTGCTCCAAACTCTAGTGGTTTTCAGTCAAAGAGAACCTGAGTCTCCTACAATGGCTTTTCACAGCCTAGCTTCCTCTTAATGTTCCCTCCATTCAAATGTGTATTAATCCATGAGTTTTCTTCTCCATCTGCCACCCCCCTTCAATCCTTGCAGCTGCTGGTGTCAGATCGCAATTCTTGGCATAGCTATTTGTTCTGTGTTCCTATGGCAGCTGCAAAGTGGGTTTTACACAGAGGAATGATTTTTTTCTAAAGAGGGGAGGAATTCTCATGCAGGAATTTGGAAAACAAGCAGAAGCCTATGTGGTACAACCCAAGTAAAATAATTGACTCTCTATTCCAAAGCATCTGAGTTTCAGCATGACAGTTGGCTCTGGAAGGGATAGCTTACTCTTCAGCTGCTGAGGGTCTCTGCCCAAGCCTGGGATGTACACATGTGTTGAAAACTATTCTTGTATAGGCATGGAGATTGTGTTGATGAATTTGTTGGCATTTGACTTCCTGTTAAATCAGAAATGTTTGACATGCCTGTGGAGAGAGAAGCCACTGGGGTTGCCCCCTGATTTCACAACCATTCACTCATACTATGTTTCATATTTGTATGTAAGTGAAGAAGTAGATGGGAGATTCACACCCTGAATTTCACTCCATTAGACTAAGCTATTGCTACTTCTACTCAAACTGGCATTTGGGACATAAGAGCCAATGCCTTCCCCAGTGTGTTCATTAGACTCGTGCTCCTGAATTCCATGGGATTTGTTGAAAATGTCCCTCCTAGTGTGTTTGGAGTAGCAAGTGCCATTAAAGTTGCTGGATGACTAGCCTACAGCCCTCTATTTTTGTTCCTTTGTAATGTTGTGAAAAAAAAATTCAACCTGAAGCTAGCTGTAAGGGGCACTTACTCTGATCCTGGATAAACCTTTCAAATCAGTCTTCATGGAGATATCATAATTGAGCAGCAGTGGTGAGAACTTGGGAAAATATTCTTTGATGTAACGAAGTTATAAAATGTTACAAAATAGATTTCACACACACCTAGTAAAAGGTTGACGGAGATGGAAATCATGTGTTGCTTGTGGTGCAAAGAACTCCAAAGGGCAGCAGAAGCACTGGATATCTGCAGTGTAACTGGATTTAAAAGTCATCGGCTGGTTCAAGCTTATAGTTTCATAGTTGATAGGGTCAGAAGGGACCTAATCAGATCATGAAGTCTGACCCCCTGCTATAGCAGGAAAGAATGCTGGGGTCAAATGACTCTGGGAAGGTGATTGTCTAGCCTCCTTTTGAAGACCCCCAAGGTAGGAGT